ACTCACTCACACACACACACACACACAGACACACATTTTCAGCTTCAGCTTCTGCATTTCAAACAAACCCCCAATAAAGTTATATATTATATTATATTAATATATATATATTAAAATATTTTATTTTTGTTTTTTCGTTCATGTCTGTCGCTTTGAGCTCATCTATGCAAATACACTCCTAAGAGTTTTTACAGGCAAGAAAACAAATAAAATATTTTTGTTTAAAGGTATGTTTTTTTCAGTAATTGCTTCATTTTATAAAAAAATAAAAAAAATTGGATGATTTAATTGATATTAGCTTTTCATCAACTCATGAATATTGCTACATTTTGTATTTTACATTTTCTATTTCACATTGATGTTCATTAACATGCATTGCCCCTATTACGTAAAGAGCTAAAACGAGTACGTAGAGAAGGAGGTGAAATGCTCAGAAGTGTCCGTCTTTGTTCACGCAGGTCTGTTTTAGGAAGCGCGTGACTCCATCTGAAGCTCAACATGCAGCATATGGACTAGTTGTGCTCCTTTTCAGGTCATTATAGGTTTCCCTGCGATTCTCCATCAGTCTTGTAATGACACTGTAAACACCTGCATCTCTCCGTCCCGGACGCAGCACAATTAGCCTGATTGATGAGCGTCCCGCTTTATCTCATTGATAAAGCTCTGCTCTCACGCACCCCTCTTTATTCCCACCTCCCATAATGCCTTTCTGCGTGGTGGGTGGCGACAAGAAGTGCAGCTGAAAACAGATGATCAGCACTTTTGACGTCCTGCTGCGGACGCTTTAGAGACCCACATTTGCAGGAGTAAATTGGCTGTTAGAACGGCTGCTTGTTACGAGCCCAAATAAAGTAATGAGAATGAATGGGCCGAGTGCTTCTGGAATCTGGAAGAAGCATCGTCAGAGGAGCTGTTTGTGAAGCCATCGTTCGGTCGCTCGATGTCTCGCGCTCTTAGCACTGCATGTGCAATATTCAGATTCGTTGTTTTGTCTTAAGGTTCAGAGTCCATTTGCATCTCATCTTTACAGACACCTGCTTTTCTGACATGTTTCTCCCTTCTTTAGCTCTTTATTTCTCTTCTTTTGTAAATCTTGCTGTTTGAGTGTGTTCTTTGTTCTGAGTGCTGCGAATCGCACAAAACCTGCCGAGAAATGTCACCCCAAAATCAAAAGGAAGAAATAATAATTATATTTTGCATAAAGAAAAAAATAGTCAGTATTTGGGATTATTGATAATTTGCATTGATTGCAATGTTGCATAATTTTAGCGATTATAAAATACATTTCCCTCCAATTCTCATCGCCGTAATGCAAAAACTAAAACAATTCTTATTAATGTAATTCATCAGTGATCAGCGAAAATTATTTTATGAATAAATGTATTGGCAAAATATTTATACATGCATGCATACAACATTGCAGTATGTGATTCATTAATTTATGCTAATTTAAGGTTCTTTAGTTAACATAGGTTAACTACTTCAGTTAGTTACTGAGCATGAACAATACTTCTACAGCATTTATTAATCTTATTGAATGTTAATTTCAACATTTACTAATGCATTATTAAAATCAAAAGTTGTACTTGTTAACATTAGTTAATGCACTGTGAATTAACATGAACGACTGTATTGTCTTTAACTAACATTAACAAAGATGAATAAATACTGTAATAAATGTATTGTTCATTGTTTGTTCGTGATAGTTAATACATTAAATAATAAAACCTTATTATAAAGTGTTACCATAATTTCTTATTTTTGCTTTTCTTTTGTTCTGAAGATTTTAATAAATCTCACCAAACCTGTCAAGAAATGTCAGCCCAAAATCAAATGCATAAAGAAAATTAAGCCAATATTTAGTTGTTAATGTAGTTTTTGCATGCAACGTAGTGTGTTCATTAATGTGTGCTAATTTATTACATAAATCATTGTGAAAATTATATAGCTATAATAATAATAAAAAAAGATAAAAACTCAATGTGTCGAAACAATTCTGCACCAGTGTAAAAATGCTTAATGCTAAGGCCTCTTTTCCTTATGTAAATACATATGAGATGTATACATCATATGAAAGCTGAATAAATATCTTTCCATTGATGTATGGTTTGTTAGGATAGGACAATATTTGGCCGAGATACAACTATTTGAAAATCTGGAATCTGAGGGTGCAAAAAAATCTAAATATTGAGAAAATCATCTTTAAAGTTGTTCAAATGAAGTTCTTAGCAATGCATATTACTAATCAAAAATTAAGTGTTGATATATTTACGGTAGGAAATTTACAAAATATTTTCAGGGAACATGATCTTTGCTTAATATCCTAATGATTTGTGGCATAAAATAAAAATCAATAATTTTGACCCATACAATGTATTGTTGGCTATTGCTACAAATATACCCCAGCGACTTAACACTGCTTTTGTGCTGCAGGGACACAAATATTCTCAGTAACTCTATTGAATTGCATGCGTGTGAATGAAATTGAATGCAATCGTGAATTCGTCTCAACATCCAGCCCCAGTCTTGAGTGTGTTTGTAGAGTCGGGGTCTGAAGAGGTTCCCGTCTCATCAGTCCAGATGAATGAATGTCCCGCAGGGGTCACTGAGAGACAGCAGGAGAAGCTTCTAGAAGCTCCACATTCCCCTGATATCTGCGAGAGAGTCTTAAGATAGATGAGCTGCTGGTGTAATTCCTCAGCCGCGGTCCTCTGTGTTACTCCCCTTCGCCCAGATGACCTTTAAGATACAGGTAGCAAAAGCTGCATGATATACGGACTGAAATACCAGTCTGTTTTTCAGAGAAAGTGTGCTAGAATCCTCGTTTTTTTCCCGCTGAGATCACGCTTCTCTTATTGAGTTTGTTCAGCCATTAGTCGCATCAGCTCAGTTTGATCAGCACAGATTTTATTTGTTTCCGTATCGCCGGGAGAATTTGATTAAATGCATCTTCCTTTTGCCTGAGGTCAAATGTCAGAGGTCAAAGTGAGGAGACGAGCTGACTGGATGCAAGTTTGAGATTTTCATAAGCTTACATTATATAATACATTTATTTAATGATTCAGTGTGATGTTATATATTATATTATGAATATTTATATAATATACTAATTATAATATTATAATATTGCACTTATTCTATAAATATTAGAACATTAAGTCCATTATATTATATTATATTATATTATATTATATTATATTAATTATATTATATTATAATGAATATTTATATATAATAGAATATAATATGCTTATTATAATATTGCAATTACACTATAAATATAATTAAATTATAATATTGCAATTTTAATATACATTTTAATATAAATATTGAATTTTAAAGTCTATGAAATTCCAAAGGATATCAGTTTAATTATTCAGTGCAATATTAAAAAAAAAATTGTATAATATAATATAATGTAATATTGCAATTTTAATATTAACATAATAACTTAAGTCTGTTGTATTGACAATTCTTCATTTGTTCACAGTTCATGTTATTGTCTTCTTTCATAGAAAAAAATAATATCTGACTCTCCTCTGAAATGATTTTTCATTTTTGTTGATGTAATTAAGGCTGCACATCATGGAAAAATAATGCTAAATATGAATATCATAACGAATATTTCACGTCTTAATCAAACTCCAATGAATGAAATGATATTAAATGTGTTTGTGAGTGTTTCTGCCATGCCTATGTTTGTTTATGTTATGGTTATTTGACATTGCTGTATTAACTTTAACAGAATGAACATGTTCAGCTTTACTGAGGTAGAAATTAACTCGTCTTCTGCTGAGAGCCTGATATCTCTGTGATATGCAGATACGGCTCATTAATATTTAATTAAATTCAGGTGTGTCTCAGGTGTGTGAATATCGGCGGTTTGACTATTTTAATTAGCAGATCATCTCTCCTGCTTCGTGAATGTGTGTGTGTGAGAGTGTGTCTGTGTGTGTGTGTGTTTGTGTTTGTGTGAGTGTGAGTGTGAGTGTGAGTGTGTGTGTCTGTGTGTCTGTGTGTCTGTGTGTGAGTGTGTGAGTGTGTGAGAGTGTGAGTGTCTGTGTGTCTGTGTGTCTGTGTGTCTGTGTGTGAGTGTGTGAGTGTGAGAGTGTGAGTGTGTGTGTGTGTGTGTGTGAGAGAGAGTGTGAGTGTGTGTGTGAACAAGCCTCAGATACAAGAAGGGCTTTTTATGTGTTTGATGTTTGTCTTTCATATGAAGCCTCACAGCAGTGTGTGTGTGTGTGTTCAGGATTTTCAATAATGATTGTCATCATTGTCCAAAACATTTAGGAGATTTTCAGAGAGTCAATGGTTTATGAACAGAAAACATATTTCAGTGTGTTTGAAGTGAAACGAATGTCGAACAGGTTTATACATTAACATATGTCTCATCTGTCAAAAGTTGTTTGTGTATTTGGTTTTTATTTATCAGTACATTTTATGTATGCCTCCTTTTCAACACAATCTTTATTGATTTCAGAAATATTAGCGCTAAAGAACAAGACAAATGATCAAACAAACTAATTTTGCCCTTTACACTCACCAAAAGAAAAAATATAGTTTTTTTTATATTTGAATGTGCTTTAATTTTAAATTCATTTTTAAAATTTCTATTTAGCTTTATTTTTATTTCAGTTTTAGTAAGTTTAGTACTTCAACAAAGTTTTTAATTTCTTTTTAAGTTTAATTTTTTTTTCATCTAATAATTATATTTTATTTTGATAAACTTCTGAGCTACATATATATATA